TACTACTACTACTACTACTACTACTACTACTACTTCCGCTACTACTACTACTACTACTACTACTGCCGCTACTACTACTACTACTACTACTAACAATAATAATACTAAGATAAACGTCTTTTTTAAAGTAGGAAAATATCTGCATTTAGCCAGAGAAGTGAAGACTTAGCAAAATATAAACATGATAAGGTTGCCCTTCGATACGGGCAAACCTGGAACAGTCTCGAAGAGTCTTAAAAAAGAATCAGGAGGGGGTTGTAAAACGTGGAGACATTTGCATGATTAAAATCAGCTAGAGTAGTAATAAGAGTGTTGGACTACAAAGGAGACCTGTTGTCACTTGATCTCTAATGAAAACTTTGTATGAAACCTTTTATCGCTTGTATGAACCTTCAATGAGTGCAAATACTACTACGGCTGATATTACCACTTATAATGACTGAAACAAAGATAATAATGCCAATAATGATAATATTAAGTAAAGCAGTGTACATGACAGTTGGTGTCCTGACAACAAAGGAAGATCTTTTTAAATTATTTAGTTTGTGATTCAAGCGATTCATGGGAGATTATCACAACAGATAGGCAAATATCTGATAGAAGCAAGGATCTACGAATGGAGGATTAGAGAAACACAAAACAACCAGAAGCATGTCAAAAAAGGAAGAATTCCAAGCAAATACAGACCCATAACATGCATACAGATGTGGAAAATCATCATCACCATCAGTCACATGACCTGGCATAGTTGCTGAGCACTTGACACGCTTCCTCCATTTGTCTCGGTTGCGTGTCAAAGACTGTGAATGCTCATTTTTCCTCTGTCTCTTCGGCTTTTACTTAGGGTAGGATTTTTAGGATGGTGGTAGCTCTCATGACGTAGTCATACCATTTCGAATTCTTCATGACGGGGGTTATGAGGTCTTCCAGAGAGCCTGTTTATTTGTCTAATAATGTCTCGCTACGCGTTATTTGTGGTGCGGTCTACGTACGAGATACCTAGGATGATTTTTCGGCAGTATGTTTCGAATATTAGAGACTCTGCGCTGTAGTTTTGCTAATTCCAACAACAAACCATTTAACCGAGGAAGTCTACTCTTCATTTGAGAGTGGAGGACTACATCCAGCGAAACAGAGAATATGCCAAAATCAGACAGAGGGAGGAATGTCCTATGTCGTTCGAGATATACTCAAAGAGGTTAAACTAGGAAAGAACTGCATCTCGATATGGATAGATAACGAGGAGTTTTTCAATATGATATCATAACGCTGGATAGTAGAATATTTGAAGATGTTAAAAATGTTTAATAAAGCAGGTAACGGGAAACTAGAGAATAGAACATCTTACAGGTGGTCGAACTCTTTATCTATTTCTAATTATGTTCTTTATCTATGTCTATCGAATTATGTTCGTTATCTAATTGTGTTCTTTATCTAATTATTCTTTTATCTATCTATCTATCTATCTATCTATCTATCTATCTATCTATCTATCTTCTTTAACTGTTTATCTAATAATGTTGTTAATCACTCTGTATAATTATGTTCTTTATCTATTTTTTTAAGCATTTCACCCCAAGCAAGGCGGGAAGCCATTAGGACGCAAGGGGTTACAGAAAGTTTAGAGCAAGATCAGATAGGAGTGATAGAAGAAAGGATGAGGGTAGTGGATAGATCAAGGCAACTGGAGATGTCGATTGACATTACACTTGAATAGCTGGAGATTATAGCTCACAGGGAAACAGGAATAGGGAAGGGAGTTCCACAGGCGAGAGGTGTGAGACATGAAGCTATTAGAGTAGAAGAGACGGCTACATTTAGGAGTTTCGACAGTGAAGGGGTGAGAGCGGGATGCCAGCCTCGTAAGTCGCTGGAACTCATGACGTCTGGGAACCAGCGAATGCAGCTCCTCGGAGCAATTTCCATGAAAGTATTTGTAGAACAGACAGAGATGGCGACGGCGCGTCTGTGAGAAAGTGACTGTAGACGAGACGCCAGGGCAGGGCCAACTACATTGCATATCCGCCTCTGGAGCCTATCAAGAACCCCGAGGCAAACAGAAGGGGCACCAGACCATATATGACAGCAATACTCCATGCAAGGGCGAATTGTTGATTTGTAGATCTGGAGGAGAAAAACTTCCTGGCGCGGCCCAGGGAGCCAACTTTCCTTGCGGTGGACGAAGCTATTGACTCAATGTATTTATTCCATCTCAGGTCAACAGTCAACGTGAGACCGAGAAGCCGCAGAGAGTTGCTCTCGAGAAGTTGAGCGTCAGTGGAATTGTTCTAGCCGTTTCTTTCTCCTGTTCTAAATCTTATTGAAAGCATATCTCCCAAGCCCACTATTTGGTGAGGGCGGAGGATTGGCCGTTGATCCCCCCGCCCACCAGGTCGACGCTTGGACATAAGGTAAGCCGTACATTCAGTTACCATCATGAGGAAAAAAGCAGACAACCACTTGCTGCCCCGTGTGAGTATAGTTTCGCTCTAGCTGAAACCCATTTATATTTTTCTTTGTTTTTTTTTTTTTGTTTTTAAATTTATCTATTTTTTTCTCTCCCCCCACCACTCAAAGATATTTTGTCGCAATGATTCTCCCTTATTTGATAGTTTAGTAAGAAATCCCGGTTCGAAAGAAAAAAACAGGAAAAATGGAAAATTAAATGTCTTTGGCTAGATGTGAAGGTGTCTCGTCAGTATTCTAATGATGTTGTGACAGTATCTTTATGCTTGATATATATTGTCTGAACTTGGAATTGTTCTAGCCGTTTCTTTTTCCTGTTCTAAATCTTATTGAAAGCATATCTCCCAAGCCCACTATTTGGTGAGGGCTGAGGATTGATCCCCACCCCTATTTATCCAATTATTTTCCTTATCTGTCTATCTTCTTTATCTGTTTATCTAATAATGTTCTTATCTTCTTTTATCTGTTTATCTAATATCTATCTTCTATAATCTATCATCTCTTTATAGTTATTATCTATCTATTATCTATTTATCTATCTATCTATCTATCTCAATTTTTGATTTCATTATTATCTATCTATCTATCTATCTATCTATCTTTATTTTTTGATCTTATCACGTTATTTTTTTTGATCTATCTATCTATCTATCTCTGTCTATCTATCTATCTCACTTTATTTTTTGATCTTACCCAGTATGTTCATTATATCTATCTATTATCATTATCTATCTATCTATCTATCTCCTTTATTTTTGATCTTTCTTTTCTATCTATCTATCTATCTATCTATCTATCTATCTCACTTTTATTTTTGATCTTACCCAGTATGTTCATTATCTATCTATCTATCTATCTATCTATCTCTATCTATCTATCTATCTTTTATTTTTGATCTTACCCAGTATGTTCATTATCTATCATTATCTATCTATCTATCTATCTATCTATCTATCTATCTATTTTTTGATCTTTATTTTTGATCTTCTATCTATCTCGCTTTATTTTGATCTTACGTTATTTTTGATCTTACTTTGATCTTACCCGTTCATTATCTATCTATCTATCTGTCTATCTATCTATTTCACTTACTCAGTATGTTCATTATCTATCTATCTATCATCTATCTATCTATCTATCTATCTATCTATATATCTATCTCACTTTATTTTTGATCTTATCTACTATCTATCATCTTTTTTTGATCTTTCTCTTACTTTGATCTTACCCGTTCATCTATCTATCTATCTGTCTATCTATCTATTTCACTTTATTTTTTATCTTACCAGTATCATTATCTATCTATCTATCTATCTATCTATCTATCTATCTATCTCACTTTATTTTTGATCTTACCCAGTATGTTCATTATCTCTATCTATCTATCTATCTCGCTTTATTTTTTGATCTTATCACGTTATTTTTGATCTATCTTATCTATCTATCTCTATCTATCTATCTGTCTATCTTCTATTTCATCTTATTTTATCTTACAGTATGTTCATTATCTATCTATCTATCTATCTATCTATCTATCTATCTATCTATCTCATCTTATCATTATCTATCTATCTATTTATATCTCGCTTTATTTTTGATCTTACCTCAGTTATTTTTTATTTACTTTGATCTTACCCGTTCATTATCTATCTATCTATCTGTTCATATCTATCTTATTTTTATCTTACTCAGTATGTTCATTATCTATATCTATCTATCTATCTATCTATCTATCTATCTATCTATTCATTTTTTTTGATCTTACCCAGTATGTTATCTATCTATCTATCTATCTATCTATTTTTTGATCTTATCTCACGTTTTTTTGATTTTTGATCTTACCCGTTCATTATCTATCTATCTATCTTTTTCTATCTATCTCAATTTATTTTTGATCTTACCAGTTTATCTATCTATCTATCTATCTATCCTATCTATCTATTCATCTATCTATCTATCTCGCTTTATTTTTGATCTTCCCCATATGTTCATTATCTATCTATCTATCTATCTATCTATCTATCTTTCTTACCCAGTTTTCATTATTTATCTTATCTATCATCTATCTCGCTTTATTTTAGATCTTACTCATATGTTCATTATCTATCTATCTATCTATCTATCTATCTATCTATCTATCTATCTATCTATCTATCTCATTTATTTTTGATCTATCTATATATCTATCTATCTATCTATCTATCTATCTATCTATCTATCTATCTCGCTTTATTTTTGATCTTACCCAGTATGTTCATTATCTATCTATCTATCTATCTATCTATCTATCTATCTATCTATCTATCTCACTTTATTTTTGATCTTACCCAGTATGTTCATTATCTATTTTTATCTCGCTTTATTTTTTGATCTTACTCTCACGTTATTTTTTGATCTTACTCTTGATTATCTTCTATCTGTTCCTATCTATTTCACTTTCATTTTTATCTTACTCAGTATGTTCATCTATGTCTATCTATCTATCTATCTATCTATCTTCTATCTATCTTATTTTTTATTTATGATCTTACAGTATGTTCATTATCTATCTATCTCTATCTATCTATCTTTTTGATCTTACTCTATCTATTTATCTATCTATCTATCTATCTCTGTCTATCTTTATTTATTTTTATCTTACTCAGTATGTTCATTATCTATCTATCTATCTATCATCTATCTATCTATCTATCTATCTATCTATCTCACTTTATTTTGATCTTACCCAGTATGTTCATTATCTATCTATCTATCTATCTATCTCGCTTTATTTTTGATCTTACTTCACGTTTTGATCTTACTTTGATCTTACCGTTCATTATCTATCTATCTATCTGTCTATCTATCTATCTCATTTTATCTTGATCCTACCCAGTATGTTCATTATCTATCTATCTATCTATCTATCTATCTATCTATCTATCTATCTCGCTTTATTATTTTGATCTTTCCCAGTATGTTCATTATCTATCTATCTATCTATCTATCTATCTATCTATTTTTATCTCATCTTATTTTTGATCTCCCAGTATGTTCATTATCTATCTATCTATCTATCTATCTATTTTTGATCTTATCTATGTTCATTATTTTATCTATCTATCTCACTTTATTTTGATCTTACCAGTATGTTCATTATCTATCTATCTATCTATCTATCTATCTATCTATCTATTTGATCTTACCCAGTATGTTCATTATTATCTATCTATCTATCTATCTATCTATCATCTATCTATCTATCTATCTATCTATTTATTTTGATCTTATCCATCTATTTTATCTATCTATCTATCTATCTATCTATCTCGCTTTTATTTTTGATCTTACTCTCGTTATTTTTGATCTTACTTTGATCTTACCCGTTCATTATTATCTATCTATCTGTCTATCTATCTATTTCATTTTATTTTTTATCTTACTCAGTATGTTCATTATCTATTCATCATTCATCTATCTATCTATCTATCTATCTATCTATCTATTTGAGTCTATTCTTTAATCTAATTGTTTAATTCTTTAATCATTAACTATCTATCTATCTATTTATCTATCTGTCTATCTATCTATACCTATATTTGTCAGAATTGTCAAGATCTATCAATGTATTCTGTTCTTTATCAATCAAATTGTTTTCTTTATCTATCAACTCAATTTCCGTGGCAACGTTTTAGATGAGCTTCACTCTTTATTTCCATTCAATTCAGACCGTTATAGCATGTAACGGCGACGGAGTTGAATCACCAACATACCCTCTGCGTTCTATTTGTAAGAAAGAAATTTCATTCAGACAGCTTTTTACCCCAGAACTGATACTACGAGGATACAACTCCCGCTTGAGTGTTTTCCTAAAAACTACAATTTTAACTTCTTCAGGTCAAGGGTTAATTACTATTTATCCTCCTTATATTTACAAGATTTACTTTTTCCAATCTCCTCTTACGTTCATACCACACATTTCATTCAGTAACTCTCAGTAACAAGGAGTGGCTCTTGAGCCTTTTACTAGGTGAACTTTAGTATAATAATCTATATATGTATATATAGTAAATATAAATTTATATATATATATATGTGTGTGTGTCTATTTTATGTATACAAGAGCAAAGAGAGACTACTTACATGGGCACGCAAATTGCTCTACAATATATTTTTTATGTAGGTATTACAAGACCGCCCTATTATATATATATATATATATATATATATATATATATATATATATATATGTGTTTTGTGTTTGTGTGTGTGTGTGTGTTTGTGTGTGTGTGTGTGTGTTACTTGTATATCATTGCTTGACTCAACTAATGCTCTGTGATGTATCGATTCGGTGGAAAAGGGAAGACGTAGCCATTGGGAGCACAATCAGTTGGGTTATGAATACTTGGATGAGGATCAACACTGACTTTGTTAGTAGCTAGCTTATATCGAGTCTATTCAATTTCTTCTTCGTCACCGAGTTCCGTTGGTACAGTTGATATGACGCTTGCATTGTATCGAAAAAGTCCGGGTTCGAACCTCTGTAGTGGATTCGCACTGCTGATGGATCAGAGAATAAGACGAAACTCCCGTCCGGTGCTTTCTGGATCCTATTGAGGAGTCTTCTAGACTTTATGAATTACTATAATGTTATATATGTATACACACACACATTTATATTTAGGCAGCATCTCTTAATTCAGGCATGTTTGGTTGAATTATGTCTATCTACATTTATTTTAATCCTTAATGAATTTAATATCAACATTAAGAAGTCGATCGCAGAATACGAGAGGATTAAAAGAAGTACACTTAATATGTCCAGATTATTGAATTATTCATTATTATATTATATATATATATATATATATATATAATCTCATACAATCTCAGTTACGGTGGACTGGTCATGTAAGGAGAATGTCTGATGGCAAGTACCCAAGAACCTAGTTGTTATGTTGTTATGGTCCGGTTCCTTGTACCACGGTGATAGTCCAAGGTAGAACCAATAAAGAAGAACTCGAACACAGGTATGGAACAACACAGATATATTACAAACAGGAATATGTACAGAGAAGTAGAAAGTGTTAGTACGAACAATCAGGTTTAGTAGGGAGAACAATGTAGTCTCGACCAGTATCACTATTCCAATGTCTTGCAGTAATTGTCTGAACGCGACTCTGATTCGGACTGCCTCTGACTCGACTCTTGACTCGACTGATTGGCTCGCTCGCTCTGACTGACTGACAGATTCGTGACGGACTTCTGACGGACCTCACTCCAGACTTCAGACTGAACAGTATTTAGTCACCCCACCACGAGGGCATCATGTGGCACAAGGCCGGTTTATCGTGGGATCTCCGAGCCCGTGGGCTCGGCCAAAAATATGATTCGTCTGAATCGTCTTTAAGAAGCGAGAGCAAGATCTAAAAAATCAGTCGAGTCAAGAGTCGAGTCATCCCACAATCCTCACTCTTGCTCCATATGCGGCCTCCTTTGTAAATCACTTGCGTGATCAAGATGAAACTTCGATCACGTGACCACAGTAGGACCAACTATAATCATACATGAGCAGAAGGCAGTGTGACAAATCTAAAGATATGTTATGGATGGAGAAATTGTGGATAATATTTTACTTACCCGTATATATATATATATATATATATATATATATATATATATATATATATATATATATATTCGCTGGATTGACCCTGGGTTTCACGCTTTTGCGATCAGTTGTTTGCAAAAGCGTGAAACCCAAGGTCACAAGCTCACATCACTCCAACCAATATGTTAGCTATATCTCTGATATTGAGCGCTTTCTAATAAGTACCGCGCATATAATGTATAAATAATTATATATATATACATATATACTTATATTTATATTTATATACACACACTTTTCACGCACACACACATATATATATATATATATATAAATGTCATGAGAACGAAATGAATATAAATTCAAAAGTTCATAGCATTAATTTAAAAGAGGTCTCAATACCAAGAGTAGAGCATTATTGCTTTTACCTGTTTTTTTTCTTATTATTTATTTTATGATTTTTTCTTTTGCCGTTTATTGAAACCCTTTATATATTTCTTTTTCTAATGATAAAAAGAAAGTAATCTTTCATAAGTAGCACTTTTTAAATAGAATCGTTTATAACCATCTTTGTTCCTCAGCTGTCGAGATGCGGTCGCATTGAAAGAAAAACGCATTTCTTCTGTGTACTTGTTTGTCCGAATGTGATATCTTTAGAATATATATATATATATATATATATATATATATATATATATATATATATATATATATATATATATATATATGATAATAATCCATTGGTAGTTAATCACTTAATCCAAGTCAATCCTAATAATATAAAATATTAAAACTGATTCTCATAGAGAGCTCAATGTTTTATTCAAACAGACCATATAAATTACATACACTCGGAATTAATATTACTTAATCTTAATTCATATTGTATGTAATATATATATATATATATATATATATATATATATATATATATCAAAGCTAAATTTTAATAATATAAAGATTAAGAGCTGCTCTCCTGGTTTACTGACAGTTTAACGCCTTTGCCTTGTGCACATATATTAACAAACGATCTACTCTCACTATTGAGAGCAATACAAATTCAAAATATTTTCTAACATTAATACATATATATATATATATATATATATATATATATATATATATATATATATATATATATATATATAGTATTAGGACTGGGTGTGTACCCCAACACCGCAAATTCCTATAAAACCGAAACATTAACATGAAAACTAAAGCCATGTTCTTAAACGGCCTCGTCAGATCAAGGCTTTCATATGGATGTAATACATGACGTCAAACCCGTTCAGTACATATCTAAACAAATTCAAAACATTAACCTGAAAACTTGAGCCATGTTTCGAAATAGCTTCGTCAAATCCAGATTTTCAAATGGATGCCAAACCCGTTCAGAAATAACTAAACTCCCAGCTGTATACAACCGTTTTCTCAGAGCAGTGATTAAAAGTGGTTTTTGGGGGAGTGAAGCCTGTGGCTCTTTACGTAGACTATTCTTCTTCGTACCTTGTGAACTGGTGCTGCAGAATCCAAAACAAAGAACTGTATCAAATAACTGAAATAACGACTAAAATTCATATGTAACTCGAAGAGAAAATAATGACATAATCAAGATGCTGACGTTCAACACTACTTCAAAGAAAAGCTTAAGAAGGAAGCTCTGGAAAGTGCAGTGACATCTACAAGACTTGAGAAACCTATTTTCTTAAAAAATGTTTTTAAGAAAAAGATTTTATAAATTCCAAACAAAAATAACATTGACTGCTCGGTCAATGAATGCCAAATGTTTCCTTATATGTAAACGGCTAATATTACCATTACCATTTCTTTTACAGGCCGCCAGTACAAAACAATATTAAATAGATGAAAAGTATAGAATGTATTTGTAGTATGTGATGACTAAAAAATAAACTAATGAAAAATTACAGGAATATATGTATTCCAATGAAACACTAACTAAATCTAATTACTAAAAGTAAACACTTTTTTGAAACCGAATCTTTTGTAGTGTGCAACCATGCACCTACTTGCAGGCCAAATCTTTAACAGATGCATGCATAAATTATATACATAAATGCACAAACGTACACGCACTAAGCACCCACAATATATACGCATTTTAGCAATTTCGAAGGCTGTTATTTCTTTTATTTATTGGGTGAAAATTGAGTTGAAAATATATGAGAAATGACTTATGTCTGGCATAACTGAAATTTGAGTTATTAAACTCCGACAGAAATGGGAAAATGTACATGAAAACTGGGGACAAGTTATTAACAACAAACGTGTCTGTATCTATCTATCTATCTATCTATCTATCTATCTATCTATCTATCTATCTATCTATCTCAGTATGTTCATATATATATATATATATATATATATATATATATATATATATATATATATATATCCCATTGAATAGAAATCCAAATTTACCTCATTCGAATAGCTATTTCAACCAAAAGAACACCTATATTGACATTGTCAACTCAGAAATGTGACGGAATAAAATAGGAATATATATATATATATAGTGGGGGGAAATAAATATTCATAAACATGAAAAATTGTATTTTTATAAATGTAAAAGCCTTAACTAAAACAAATTTTGATACATTTTATGTGTAAAGAAACATTTTATTAAAAAATAGTAATAAACTTAATTAATTCCTATTCTAACAAATTAATGCATTTTTTCCTTTTTAACTGATGAAAAAAGTATTCGTATAAAACAAAAAAAAGCATATTAAATTAATTTAATACTTTGTTGAATATCCTTTATTGAATTCAACAGCTACCAGTCTATTCCTGTACGTCTCAACTAATGATTTGCACACATTTGCACACATTTTTCTTGGCATATTGTCTTCAAATTCTTGATATTTGTTGGTGCTCTTTTCCCAATTTGA